ACTCTATATATACACTAAAAAATAAAATAAAATAAGGTAAAAAGGTTAAAAGAATTTGTTGAAAAATAAAGTTAAAAATGAAAATAAATAAAATATATATATAAAAAGAAAATAAAAAATGTACATATATTTATAAAAAAACCGAAAATAAATAAATTATACAAAAAACAAAAAATAAAATTAAAAAACCATGTGGTGTAAGTTTTTGCAAACCTTGGGGACTAAATTTGAACTTTTTAAGACTGATTTTGCAAAAAAAGTTAACCAACTTAACCATGAAACTCGTTAAGGGGACTAGAGTGATAATTCTGAAAGAAAGTTGTGACCATAGCAATGATAAAAAAATATTATGACTTTTTCCAATTACGCGTTAAGAATTTAGGGCTTTTATAATATTAGTCATTTATTTTTCAATTTTGTAAGAATATTAGTCCTTTTATAATATTCGTTAGGATGATGTAGAATTGTAAGAATATATAAATAATCCTTTTTAAAAGCAAGAAATAAAATCTTAACTAATCGTAATCTCATTGTACATAAACTTTCCACAAAACTATTTGACCCCCCCCCCCCCCCCCCCCCAAATCCATCAATAGTAAAAATCTATCATGCATTTTAGTTGTCCTATTTATTTCAGGGTACTGTTACGACCCCCATAGGAGACATTAGTAAGGCCATACATAAAGAATACAGAATTATCAATCAAAAAAGGGTGGTAGAATGTTGTATTGCCATACTTTCATTTTTGCCTTAAGTTCAAAAGCTAGGTTCCATTACAAATACACAATTGTGAGATTTAAACTCAGAACTCTTGCACTGTCACATTAATTAGAAGTAATAAGCTGAAGCTGGCGAGCTCGAACTACCACCTGAAGCCGTGCGAGTGCATGCATGCATTCTAATGCTATACGAGACTGCCTCCTAACATACGCTCCTCGTACTACTGCTTGCAGCTTCACAAGACTCCTCAATGCCTTATATGCTCTCCGTGCCTATGTACAAATCACAATCATTAATTCCATTTTATAAAAGAACTTTTAATTCAGTACTGTTGAAAACAAGAAAACATAATTTGAATAGACGTACGAGGTGCCTTCGAAAGCAAGTTTGGATTTTAGTGGCTGCAGCCATTTCTTTGACCAATGGGGTGTCACAAACATTATCATCGATTGTGACGGGAGTTGATGGTGGTGGTGATGGAGGCGGTGGCGGTGGTTGCTCTTGAGAAAATGTTGTATTGTTGGTATGGAGGACAATGATGGTCTCGCTGGGACGTGAAGACGACCGGAGAAACTTTCTACGGACAACACCAAACCAAGATCTTCGGGGTTTTGCCATTGAAATCTGTATGCTCGAGGACTATTGTAGGTAGATAAACCGTTATCTAATGATCGACTGGTTTTAAAGAAATGAATATGAAAGTAGAGTAGTAGACGTAAAGGCCGGAGATGTGCGCCCCATATACAGGTTTTGGCCATACTTGTTAGCGTGTATGAGAACGTGAGGGCATGAATTATGAATCCGTCTATGAAAGCGATTGGGTGTTTTTAAAAGGTTTCAAAGCTTTAAAACAGTTCCCAGTTGGCCACCATGCTATTTTTAGAAAAGTCAAATGCATTTATTCATCTGGTTATAAGTTAGATATTTTATTCTTATAGAAAATATTAATCACAACTTTTAAAAATAAGAAGTGGTTAAAATAAGAGCAACAAATAAATATGTTATATCTCATCAGTCTCATAAAACTTTGTTTATAATTCATTTGAAGTATGAATTTAAAAAATATATTAAACTATCTTTTTTAAAAACAAGGTTAAACAATTGTTGACTAAAATCAAAGTTATAAATTTATTAAAAGATATAAATACGAAGATGGTTTAATCACCAGCTCTACTGCTGTGCTGCAGCTTTTGTACATCCCCTACCATTTCCATTACTTCTACTACAAGCCACTCCAAAATGATAAAATCATAAAACACTTTTAGAATTGTATACTTTCACTTAATATCATTTAAAGTTATTACCATATTATTATTTCATTAATTTTAATCTATAATTAATTAATGCTTAACTTCTAATAATTATTTAAATATTTTATAAAAGGAAAGTTGAGTGACTAACACATATAAATTAGAGGTGGCAAAAATTGACACGACACGAAACCCGACATGAAATAAACGGGTTTGGGTAAGATATTTCAACCCGTTTAAATAAACGGGTTGACACGACACGACACGAAAAGTAAACGGGTAAGGTTAGGGTTGAGAATTTCAACTCGAATATGACTCGAAAATGATCAGTTTATTTATATGCAAGTTTTTTGAATTATTTAAATAAACTAGAAAGATACAAAACCAAAACCATAAGTAAAAGAAAA